CCACGCACGTGGCTCGACCACTCTGCCTGTCTGCAGAACCTGATGGAGAAAGATGGAGGCACTTATTAAAAGGTAAACTTCTCACAGAAGGACTGACATGTCAGTCACCAAAGATATTTTTGTCATTCTTTTCCCCTCTCTTCGTATGTGTCTGTTTCTGTTGGTGGCTGTTATCGTGCTCAGACGGAGCTCGGCACCCATGTTTGTTTAAGACTTAAGGCTCACCCACACAAAGAACGTTCATATCTGCATATCTGCTTCTATTTAAGTGAATGGATTGTTAACACCAAACACTAAAACCTGACTGAATATTGCCACTGATCTCACCTCATAACCACAGGAGTATATTAAAAATGCTTAAAGAATATTGACTGTAACACACTTTATTAAAATGAGTATTTTTTTTTTCTTTTTCTTTTGCAGGCTCATCTTATGATGAGGTAAATATTATTGCATTCCCTAGTGTTAGTTTCTGCTTTTATGTCCGTTTCATTTAAAATAAGTGCTCAAAGTTGACTTTATATACAAAAGCACAAATTTGGTTTCAATGCACGAATACATTACAAACACTCACAAACCGTCAGAGGCCATCGCGAGCATTATGATTATGAGAATTCAGGGTGTCTCTTCCATGTGGCGTGTGTGGGGTGTGTGGTGTTGGATTACACAGGCAGCTGTGAAAGCTGGTCTCCGTGTTATCCCAGAGCGTCTGCCGTGGCGCTGCCTGTCTCCAAGTACCACACAGACAGTTGACTGGAAGTGACGGTCAGATCTGTGGACTCGCCTCGGCTCTCTGTGGGGAAGCGGGCAAGCTCAGAGGGGTGTCCGCAGACACAGAGAGGGGAGAGCTTTGGTGGAAATAGATTGTGAAGTGTTTGCAGAAGACCCCATGCCTTTCTGTGTCTCTTCTAGTTAGCATTGCAACCGCAGGAGGCTGACACAGACTAATTGAAAAACACTAGATAGATAGATAGATAGATAGATAGATAGATAGATAGATAGATAGATAGATAGATAGATAGATAGATAGATAGATAGATAGATAGATAGAAGACAATACAAGATCTTAAATGATGAATTTGGACATATTACTGTCAACATTACACTGTCTAAAAAAAAAAGGGTGAAATATGGGTAAAACACGTGTGAAAACACTATACATTGAGCCCTGTTTTTACAGACCTTTTTCTGAATGTATTTTGAATTATCCAGCAGTTAGTTCTGATCTTTTAATCTGATTGGAAAAATATTGTTCCAAGAGTGCCAATAAAGCAATAAGCCCCAAGAAGCTATGGTTTACAGGGATTTTATAAGAGCTAATGGGCATTATTAGGCAGGATTCAGAGCGAGTTCAATTACTGATTATGATTGTCTGAACGTGGAACAGAACTGTCTGTTTAAATACTAAACATCACTTGGATGTTTCAGTGGTCATATCATTCTGCTTTGCTGTATTTACACCATTCCAGTTCAGAGTAAATGAGCTGTTTGAAGTCATAGAATTTGTAGTTTCTTGCTCAGAGTCCCAGTGAGAGTGAAGTGACCTGGCAGCAGAGAGAAAAAAAAATCCCTGGGGGTGGATTTGGTGTATACATACTACTTTGCATGAGAAGGGGAAACTCACTCACATACTGTGTTCTAATCTGTGTCGCTTGGTGTCAAAAGTCGATTGTTTTGGCTTTTCCTGGAAGAGTTTTTGTTGGAAGAGAAACATATACCGAACCACTGATCCTTTGCATAATCTAGTCTGCCCTGCGTATGGCATCAGCTATCACGGGGGGTACCATCTCGTCTGCTCGAGGGCGACAAACACCGATTTTTGCAGAGGGGAAAAGGCGATTTCCACTCAGGGGGACAACCCCCACCCCCACATCTCTCCTCCCTCACCCCAATAACAAGCATGCAAAACCATGTAATCTTATAATGTAAGTCACCTTACAATGTCTACTTGTTCAGGACTGTTTTATTCAGTTATAGAAAAAAGAGTTAGCGGTGTTATTCCTATATGGCATATGTAAATAGGATCAGTTTTGTATGTCTATTCTGTGATTTTGATTGAAAGCTGTTGCTTTACTCTGCTGCCATGTTGGGCTTCTAATGGGACAACTCTTTATTTGTGCACTCAAGGAAAACTGACAGAGGTGAAATAAATAGTAGGAGAGAGAGAGAGAGAGAGAGAGAGAGAGAGAGAGAGAGAGAGAGAGAGAGAGAGAGAGAGAGAGAGAGAGAGAGAGAGAGAGAGAGAGAGAGAGAGAGAGAGAGTAACGATGAGGAGGCAAGGAGGAATCCAAATGCAAGCACAATGGTTTTATAAAGATAATAGACAAACAAAAGGGAAATCCACGAAAAACCAAAGAAACTTAGAAACAGTAACTCAGAACAAAACTCAGAAACAAGGACTCAGAACTAGACTCAGAACTAGACTCAGAACTAGACTCAACGCTACATCGACCGACAACCAACAACTGAAACACAGGGGTTTAAATACACAGACAAACAAGCTAAACGAGGGAACAAGGGGGCGTGGTAAATCAGAAACACCTGGGGAAACTTATAAACAAGAAAAACTACAAAGGACTACAAAACCTGGCACAGAACAGAAAATAACTAAAGTCCACACAAGACAAGGAAAACACAAGACAGGAATCGTGACAGAGAGAGAGATTTTTAGTCACTTTATTAAAACAATTTTTCTTCAAACATTTGCATCCCTTTACACACACACACACACAAAAAAAAAATAAACAAATTACATATTTACATCAACTCTCTTACGAAAACCATTTCTTCGAAATCTGAACAAGGACCATAATGGGCGCATAAGTTCCGCATTTGATCAGTGGTGGAGGAAGTACTGAATCTCAGTACTTAAGTAAAAGTACAAATAACCAGATAAATATTTACTTTAGTAAAAGTAGAAGTAACATAATGACAACCATACTTGAGTAAAAAGTAAAAAGTACCTGATTTTAAATGTACTTTAAGTATTAAAAGTAAAAGTACTTGCATAACAATTTATTCTCTTAATGTCTATTTTTTTTCTAATGATTAATAAAACATTTAATTCTAACTCATTCCACCTAATACTCTTATAATGATGTTCAATAATTATGGAAAAAAAAATGTTGTCACCATTTCTGAAACAAGCTTGCAATTAGGCAATATACACATCATGCTTATCCTTACTCCGTGTATATCGCGTATCCGTGTCACCGCGACTTCGGCCGGAGAAAGAGCAGAAACTTGCACCTGCACTGTCCATTTTATTAGGACAATTACAAACAAGATATCTGAATTGTAGTATCAAATGTTGCAAACACTGTGTAGTTGAAACTCAGTTTTTTTACTTGAAAACCAGATCGATCTCATCTCAATTATGTTTTTCAGCACCATGAAAACTTGTCTTCTAAACAAGAATAGATGCTTCACCAACACTGACTTGCACCCGAGAGGGATTTTCTTAATAGGTGAAACCAGTTTTCCATAAGATTACTCTTGCAGCAGTACTTTGTCTTTAATGAAAGGAGGTGTGAACCATTCAACACGAAGCCGATTTCGTGTCATTAGCTCTTTCAATGGATAAAAAAAAAAACCTGTTCATCCGCGATGCCGATTATCATGTCCCATAATCTCTCCCACCACTAAACAATACTGTTCCACTTGAATTCTAGACTCCACCTTCACTTCATGGTGGCGAGATAAATTATTAAAACTCATTCTGTTTTTGTTTGTCATGCCTCCCAGCACAACGCTGCTTGCAGACGAACACACCTTTAAATGCTAAACAAATGAAAAACTCTACACATACAGTATATGTATATAACAAACAAACAAACAAACAAAAATAAGATCAAAGAAAAGTTTTAGCACACAGCCACAAACGTTTTCACCCTTACCACGCTCACTACCAGCATGCACTCTGAGAGAGAGAGAGAGAGAGAGAGAGAGAGAGAGAGAGAGAGAGAGAGAGAGAGAGAGAGAGAGAGAGAGAGAGAGAGAGAGAATGAGAAGTAAAAAGTATTAGTTGCAGAGCACCCATACGCACAACTCCATCAGTAATGTCATAACGAAACAGACCGCACATAAGCCTGTGACTCCCCTGGCACTGGAACTGAACCCCTGTGTTCCTGTTGTTGTGTGAAGCATGTATGTGTACTGGGATCTCTCCTGGAGGTTCAGTGTTTCATGTCGCAGATTAGTTTGAACTGAGGGCTGCAGTCTCGGATAGACTTGACCGCTCGACTGAGCTTCTGAAGCTAGTAGCCCAAGTGCCCTTGGTAGGCTCTGTGATACCTTTTAAAAAAAATGAATGAAGATTATTCTTCAAACCTTTAATGTCACTTGGTTAAGGTTCGGAACTGAGAAGATGTTTTTCCTCAGAACAAGATCCATTTTCCAAAAAGATACAACGACTGAATGATTTTGATATTCCAGCCCGTTCTCATCAATTAGCATCACATAGAACGCTATATGACAAAACGGCGCTATACTACGCACATGGCACCCTTTATCGTTAATATTCACGCTAACCCAAGGCGTCATAAATCATTTCGCGTAATATGAGACTACCCTACCCAACCTACCCCACACCTAAACCTAACCATCACAGCACGTGTTATATTAACGATATATTAACGATAACTTTTTTTTAGGGCTTTAAACGATTCCAGACGATGAATAAGGCTATGGAGTTTCCTTTGTGTCTTTTTTATTCAATCAAACATACTGCGTTTGAGAGTAAAGCTAATTATTTTGTAATAAAATAAAATAAAAGAGTGCAAAAAAGTCTTCTAAAGGCTCAAAAATAAAGAAGTTGATAACAAAATTATTTGCAGTGCGTGTACTCTATTGAAAACTTTTTTTTATTTTTTGTGTACTTCAAAAACTTTTCATCAAAACCCCACACATGTTGCTCTCCTTTCTGCTGTATTTTTTGCGGGTGTAAATATTTTGCTTGCGAGTTGAAAAGTTTTGCTTGCGCGTGTTCGCCGTACCGCAGTGGGCGGTCTCTAACAACCATATGAAAGGCCTTTTTCTATTGGTCACCCTCGATTGAAGTGACAGGTTGGCCACGCCCACTACAGTTTCCCACCGCCGCTGCTGCTGCCATCATCATCGTTCGTCGCCAGTCTGTCTGAGGGAAAAGCGAGCGATCTTCTAGAATGGCGAGCAACAGGTCGTTTACTGGGTAAGTAAGACAATTTAATATCATAGTGACAACTGACAAGTGAACTGAATGTTCTCTCTTCTATGCTGTCCCATTTTAATAACGTTACGTTGCGTCGGATAGACCAGTCAGTCTGTAGTTAGTGTTACCGATGACTAGATTGTATTTAGCCAACACCAAATAGTACCGTGCCGTGTGATTGATTGATGTCCAGTGTTGCTATCTGAGGAGACATACATAATCACATGGATTTTCTCAGCGTGACGTTAAAGGCCACTATTTTCGATGTCTGTACAGTTAGTTTCTGGAGTAAATACTTAGCTACACGACTTAGTTTGGCCATGGTTTTTAGACCTTATAATTATAAGATTCCTTCGGTGCACCAGCCCCTTTAAAGTCATAGCACGTTAGTATTTTCACCCAAAAAATAGTTTAAAGTCAGTTATTCATCGGTTATGTTGCTGTAGTGTGTCAGAATTGCGTCACCTTGGAGATGTTGCCACAGCTCTTCTGGATTTAGTCTGTCTCAGTTTTTTCTGTTTCTTCATGTAATCCAGGAAAAAAATCAATGATGGTGAAATCAGATTACCTGTATAGCGGCTGTTGTCAGACTCATTGTGCATATACACATCTCACTGGATTATTACAATTAATGGCTAAATGCATGTTTGTAAATGTAACACTGATATTTTACATCTATTTTTGAGGGTGAAAATACTCAAGTGCCTAAAACATTTGCACAGTACTGTATGTATGTACTGATATGTGTGTGTGATAATGTGTGTATATTGATCTAGCCACATGGATTGTATTTTTGATTTTCACAGTGTATTGCATGTATAGTTATTGTATGTTTTACATTAAATTTGAGTTATTTTCTTTGTCTTATTGGCAGAATTGAAAGCCAACCAGGCAGGTCACAACCGCAGGTAAGCTATTAGCTTATTTCTACAAATTAATCAGTTGGCAGTTTGTTTTGGTCAGTATTACAATACTAGTGATTTGCACCTAAACCTTTTTTCCCCAGTATAACCAACGTGCTGTAACCGAAGCAGCACAACATTTTATGTCCTTGGTGGCCAGAGTTATCCCTGAGGAAAATGCAAGACAGGGTCAGACTCAGAGCCAGATCCAGCAGTCAGTAAGACCTACTGTGGAACATGAAATGACTAGGTAGATAGCAAGCATATTTTAAAAGGACCCATTCAGGTGTTACACAGAATACTCAAACATTCATTTTTTTTTTTTTATAGTGATAAAAGTTCGGCATAGGGTGCAGCAGCTAAAAATAGTATTTCTTGCTACTCAAAAATAAACACCAAAAACACACATTAATAAATGTACCTGTTCTATAATTTGCAGATCTTTTCCTGGATTTTTTAAAAATGCTGGCAAAAATAAAAGACATCTTGCCAGAAGTCAAAGGCCAACAGTACCAGCAAAAGCGCAGAAAACGTTTGATTGTTCTGTGTCTTTGCTGGGCTCTAAATCTGATACAACCCCGTCTATATCTGAAGAGCTGGAGCTTATGCAAGCAGGGCTAGGAAAGAGGACCCTGTCCTTGACATCGGATACAACACATGCAGAGGTGAGGAGCCCGATCCTAAGCAAATGCATATTCTGAATAGCATTATTTGTTGTGTCAGTGTTTTAAGGTTTTTCTTTAACCATAACATAGTTATCAAGTTTGCTGCGGGAAGCGTACTCAAAGATGAACGATTTGGAAGACAGATGGCTTCTTTTCAAAGCTGCAGGTCTGCTTTTATCATCATTTGGTGTTAAAATTCAGTAATATAAATTAGTCCATTCAGTACAGAAAACATTAATGAATTATACCGTAGAGTTATTCTCTTTTTCAGTTGTTGTATTACCCTCATATAGGTGGGAATGGAAGGAGAAGAATATCTGTAATACCATTGGAGGCAGAGGGGTATACAGGATCAGTGATCAAAAGTGCTTCTAATGGTGGGAAGAACTTGCTGTACGTCGTGCCGTTGCAGGATGAGCTTGTAATGCATCCTTGCTGAATAAAAGTATTAATTTCTTTTAAACAGTAGTGTCTAGTGTGTAATGTTGGAAAATATTTTATTTTAAATTAATACTGAAACAAAATTGTACCTAACTGTTTTCAACATTAATAATGATAAGATTTTTTCTTGAGCATCAAATCATCATATTATACTGATTTCTGAAGGATCATGTGACACTGAAGACTGGAGTAATGTCATGATGCTGAAAATTCAGCTTTACAATCACAAGGAATAAATTACACTTTACATTTACATTGTAATAATATAATAATACTGTTTCTACTGTATTTTGGATCAAATAAATGCAGCCTTGATAAACCAAGATTTTTTTTTTTTTTTAAAGGGCACCTATTATGGAATTTTGAAAATGACCTTGCATGTAGTGTGTAACATAGATCTAAGTGAACAAAAACATCCTGCAAAGTTTTAAATATGAAAGTTCACCGTATACAAAGTTATTGTCTCTCAAAAGCAAGAGTCGACACCGAGTCGCTAATATGAATCGATAGACGAACAAAGCTTTTTCTCTAGCTATATGACGTCACCTCGACAAGTTATTTGAATAAGATACACCCACACTGCACGCGCCGCGCAGACACCAGTGAAACTTGAAAACCTCATGTTGACAACAAGACGCTGTGTTCTGAAGTGTAAATCAAAAGCAAACTTTTTTTTCACTTTTTTTCAGGGACAAGCATGTGAAGAATCAGTGGCTAGAGTTTATATTTACAACTATACCACACAAGTATAGGCCGAACTGCTGTGTTTGCTTTACAAACACAACTGACTGTGTCATCTGACCAATCACCGCAGATTAGCATCACACAAAGGAGTGGTTTCAGAAAAATTAGTCGTTGAACGAATCATTTGTGAGTTGGTGAGCAAATCAGGTAAAAATAAATGCATATTATAAGATAACAAAAGTGTTTTTTGTCATTGCATGCATGTAAAGCTGTTGTTGGGGACTCCCAGAACAATATTACGAACATTTTAAATTCCATAATAGGTGCCCTTTAAAATATAAACATCTTCTACAGATCCCAAACTTTTGAATGGTATGTGTAATGAGATTTATTTTATTTTATTTTTACTGTCAAATCTCATTGATTTAGTGATAACATCACATCACAAATGACACAAGACAAACATAAAGCTATGATTAATATTTAATAAAAAAAAAAAAAAAAAAATATTAAATGTATTAAAAATTAACTTATCAGCTTGTGATTAGTATCTATATGGACAAGAGACAAAGGAGCAGGAACAGAGTATGTACGTCTTGCAACGCATGACAGCTGGACCATCCTTGAAATTACCCCTGCACCATCTACACGTTGCAAAGACATCTTAACTTTTCCATGTAACACGATGTCCCATTGCTTGTAGAGACCCTTTCACCAGCCTGTATCCAGCATGAGGTGTTCTTGCCTTTATAGATCTAACTTTCTGATCAAGCTCATGATCAGAAATATCAGAATAGTTGCTCCTGACAGACAGATTTTCCTCTTTCATTCGCCTGTATAAGGTTGATCTTGAAATGCATGCACTTCAGCCAAAGAGGCCAGAGGTAAGTGCAAGCTGAGCAAATTTTGGAGTGTTTCTCTTCGTATGTTTAATCTGGGACGACCCACACTTCCACTCCATTCAGCCACAGCTACATTGTCCAACAATGGAGGGGACTGTACTCTGTGAAAGGTAATTGGAGATAACTACATTTAACTGTTCTAGAGCATCCACCACACCCTTGGGTATGTCTATATATGAAGAGTTCAGATGCAAAAGCCTCTAAATGCCATTTGAAATTTTCTTCTTAAATGATGATTTTTATCCAACTTGTATATTTAAGTTGAGTAATTTCACTTATATGGCAATGATAATTACCTATTAATTGTTATTTAAGTGAAATTACTGAACTTAAATATACAAGTTTGATAAAAATCATCAATAAAGAAGAAAATTTCAAATGGCATTTAGAGGCTTTTGCATCTGAACTCTTCATATGATGCTCCAGCTCGAACTGTAACTCCTGACAGCAAACAAAGTGGAGATAATCAAAGTCAATGGGATGCCTATTAACAATTGAACCAATTCTATCCACAGACCTATGCAAAATCTGCCATTGCGTGGTCCTGCAAAGAGAAATAACATTTAAAAACAAAATTAGCTGATGTAACAAATATATAATATTCAGAAGCATGTCTATTTAACTGTATTACTGAGCTTTTGACTAAATCAAAATGTTGCTGTAATGTGTCAGAAGGAAATATCAGTGTTACATTTACAAACATGCATTTAGCCATTAATTGTAATAATCCAGTGAGATGTGTTTATGCACAATGAGTCTGACAACAGCCGCTATACAGGTAATCTGATTTCGCCATCATTGATTTTTTTCTGGGATTACATGAAGAAACAGAAAAAACTGAGACAGACTAAATCCAGAAGAGCTGTGGCAACATCTCCAAGGTGACGCAATTCTGACACACTACAGCAACATAACCGATGAATAACTGACTTTAAACTATTTTTTGGGTGAAAATACTAACGTGCCTATGACTTTAAGGGGCTGGTGCACCGAAGGAATCTTATAATTATAAGGTCTAAAAACCATTGGCCAAACTAAGTCGTGTAGCTAAGTATTTACTCCAGAAACTAACTGTACAGACATCGAAAATAGTGGCCTTTAACGTCACGCTGAGAAAATCCAATGTGATTATGTATGTCTCCTCAGATAGCAACACTGGACATCAATCAATCACACGGCACGGTACTATTTGGTGTTGGCTAATACAATCTAGTCATCGGTAACACTAACTACAGACTGACTGGTCTATCCGACGCAAACGTAACGTTATTAAAATGGGACAGCATAAGAAGAGAGAACCATTCAGTTCACTTGTCAGTTGTCACTATGATATTAAATTGTCTTACTTACCCAGTAAACGACCTGTTGCTCGCCATTCTAGAAGATCGCTCGCTTTTCCCTCAGACAGACTGGCGACGAACGATGATGATGGCAGCAGCAGCGGCGGTGGGAAACTGTAGTGGGCGTGGCCAACCTGTCACTTCAATCGAGGGTGACCAATAGAAAAAGGCCTTTCATATGGTTGTTAGAGACCGCCCACTGCGGTACGGTGAACACGCGCAAGCAAAACTTTTCAACTCGCAAGCAAAACTTTTCAACTCGCAAGCAAAACTTTTCAACTCGCAAACAAAATATTTACACCCGCAAAAAATACAGCAGAAAGGAGAGCAACATGTGTGGGGTTTTGATGAAAAGTTTTTGAAGTACACAAAAAATAAAAAAAAGTTTTCAATAGAGTACACGCACTGCAAATAATTTTGTTATCAACTTCTTTATTTTTGAGCCTTTAGAAGACTTTTTTGCACTCTTTTATTTTATTTTATTACAAAATAATTAGCTTTACTCTCAAACGCAGTATGTTTGATTGAATAAAAAAGACACAAAGGAAACTCCATATTAAGGCGGGTCTTATCGAGTGAAACGGTCGCTCTTAAAAAAATAAAAAAAAAAGTTTAAGTTTTATAAGCTGAAATGCTCGCCTTGCTCTGTTCTGTGATGCATGTTTGTGACTCTCCTGTTCGAACTCGTTCATCAAAATGAATGCACTGAAACTGTCTTTTGGACATTGAACCGTTTGGTTCCCAGTAAAGTGCATTATATGGAGAAAAAATCCTGGAATGGTTTCATCAAAAACCTTAATTTCTTTTCGACTGAAGAAAGAAAGACATGGACATCTTGGAAGACATGGGGGTGAGTAAATTATCAGCAAAAGTTTTTTTATTTTTTATTTTTATTTTTTTTTTTAAAGTGAACTACTCCTTTAATAGTATTCATATGTGAAATAAAACATGGCAGCTAAAGGATTTTACTGTTAAGTTTTTGAATATATTGTATTTGTATATGAAAATAAATCATATTTAGGTTTGATAATAAAATAAAATTAATAATAATAAACTAGGCTACTCTAATAAAAACAATGAAATTAAAGTGATGATAATAATAAAATATCATGCTTCATAAAATAATTGTTCATCAAAAATACAAAACAAGTAATACAGCACACACATACGTTGTCTGGAAACACTTTTGAGTGATGATGCATGCAAATTACTTTATTGCTTTTTTTAAGCAGATTCATTGTTGGAAAGAATTAATTTGGTAAAATGGATCAGTCTTCCCAGCCCTAATAGGATGAAACTTCTTGTCTTTGGCTGCATTAAACTGCCTCAGCAGTTTGGTGGTCCGACTGCACAGACATCTGCATTCTTGGCATATAGTTATCTGCTCCGAGCAGCAGGCCCTAAGAGACTAAATATATCACACAGTCTATTCACTGACACTCAAGCACACGCTCATTCCACAAGAGAGCTATTCAATCTTTTTGTACTCTTAAAGTTTGGAATAAATCTTGAAAACAGTGTGCATCTTTGGAATCTGCAATATTTCTTTCTTATAGTTTACAATGAAATATTTAGAGTGAAAAGAAAACATTATCAACATAAACCACAATTCTTAATTTCATATTTTATTATAATAAAAAATTACAATTTGATAACAGACTATAGACATTTAAGCTTAACATTTTGTAAGTGGTATTTAAAGGTACAATATCTAAGAATTTTGTAATAAAATATCCAAAAATCACTTGTACATATCCTTGGTTTCTGTTCATACTGCCAAAGCCATGATGTAACCATGGCGACAGACGTGTAGTGCATATTGTTTAGCGGCACACAGTTTATTTCAAACATAGACCATGGCAAGCAGACTTTGGGACAAATAAGGAGAACTAAAATGAGGATCAATATCAGCATGGCGTTTTTGAGATGCCGAGAGCTCGACGTCTGCGACTAACTTTCGTATAGCAAACAAACTAACACATAGTATAACATTATAACTTTCAAAACACATTTAAATGCCATTTAGTGTGGTAGTGTAACATTAATCACCACTGCATTACCTCACAAGTTTAATTCATTTAATAAACTGACCTGTGTG